GAGGGCTCATTGAATGAGAGTGAAATTTGGACAAGTGTTGAAGGAAATAAGGGAGAGAGCCAAGAGACTATCTATCTAGCGAAGAGTTTCCAGACAGAGGAACCTTCTAGAACAAAGGCCCTACCACGTGGTTTGGCCCAGTGTTGGGGGAATAGCAGGAATAGCACAGAGGCCCTAGTGGCTACAGCCGAGTGAGAGCACAGAGTTGCAGACAGGTGGGGTGCAGGCACATCTATGGGGCCCTGAAGAAATGCACCAAGTTTACCAGCTGACAGGAGGTGGGAGCACTGAGAAAGCAGGGGACAGGGTCAGAGGGGGAGGGGTTGGGGGGGCTGCGGGCTCGCCCTTCTCACATACTTCCTGCCCGGGCGCTGGGTCGCAGTCTTCCCCAGGGCTGGCCTTGCTTTCAGACTCCAGGCCTTCTCTGGGAACTGTTTCAACCCTCAGTCGAAGGTTTTTGCTTCATTCAATGTTGTCAAGTTAAATTCTGATATGCAGCCGCCTCCCTCTTCCCTGCCCAATTCGAAAGCAGCTTCCTAACTGCTTGGTAACTGCAAATCGGGGCCAAGTTTCTTCTGGAGAGACAGACAAGGAATTTTTGCTTTGACTCTGGCCCTTTGCACTCTCCCCAGCAGACCACAGCCCCGGGGGACAAATCCTGGCTACCCAAGTGGGTAACTCTGGTCTATTTGGAGGCTTGACCAAAGTGGCTCCTGGAGGACTCAGGTGGTTTTCAGTGGGGCTTTTGCAATGGCAGGAACTTCCTCACATCCCCCAGGGAGAGGAGAACCATTGCTGGTCCACCTCCCTGGGCTTCTTGGGCTGAGAACCTTCAGGGGAGCTACTTGGGAGGAAGCCGGGCTGCCTGGCCAACAGCAGGCACTGCGTAGACGCTGACTCCAGTCAACACTGCAGAGGCTTTGGACCATCAGCTGGGCCCAGGGAAATGCTTCAGTGTGACTGACCTTTGCTCTCCCGTTTCTGTCCCTGCCCCAGACCGAGCCAGTGGCGGCACCATTGACTGGACCTACAACCAGGGCATCAAGTACTCCTACACCTTCGAGCTCCGTGACACTGGGCGCTACGGCTTCCTGCTGCCAGCCTCCCAGATCATCCCCACGGCCCAGGAGACCTGGCTGGCTCTCCAGACCATCATGGAGCACACTCTGAATCACCCCTACTGAACCGGCCCTTCGGTTCTCTCTTCTTTAGCCTCTCTGGCGACCAAATAAAGTTTGAGTGTACACGGAACAGAATCTTGGGACATGCATGTGGGAACACATGTGGTGCGCCTGCTTTTTCAAGCTGGGGCAGGAGTGATTTAGTTCCTGCAGGCCTCACTGCAAATGTGTGGGTGGTTGGACTAGATGACCCCTAAATCCCCCCGCATTCCAAGGTCCTGTGAAGTTGTATCCAAGTGGCATCTGTTTTAATTAGACCACCCTGAGCTCAGCTCGTCAGTGGGGTGATTTGTTCATACCTTAGTGGCAAGCAGCAGTCACAGCTGCTAACCAAATGCCTGGCACCCTGCTGTGGTGAGGAATTCCGCTAGTACAATAGTCTAGCCGGTTGGATCCATTCATCTACAACAGCAGTAACTTTTAGTATGAAATAGAATAATTGGTGGCCACTGCAGTCCCAAAGAGATGTTGCAGCCAGGCAAGGCAAATTTCTGTCAAGCAAATACGGCCTCCCACTCCTGAATGAAATTGGAGGAGAGCAATTAGTTTAAATGGAATCGTTTTCTGAAGATGAAGGACACCAATCCCAGGACATTTTATTAACTAGTTTATCATGCAGACTTTGCCTTTAGGGATGGAAGTAGTTTTCTTTACCTTTGCACTTCCTTTCCAGGATCTTTCCGTCCACTGTCTCCGCTCCCTTCTCCCGTCCCACCCGCGACCACTCCTTAACATTTGCAAAATTTCTCAAACACAAGGCTCTCCTCTTCCTACCCCCAGAGCCTAGAATTTGCCTTCCCTCCTTTGGCTTGGTGATTCTGATGGCTGACATATCACATTAGAGGCCAGCACAACAATATATAGGATATCTCAGCTTTTTTCAAAGCAAGAATCTACCTTGTTTTTTCCAGATCTCTTAAAATGTGTTTGACTGTAGAGCAGTGAGTTACTCCCACATCCTAACTGAAGCCGATGCCTCAAGTAGCCATAATTTCTACCCACCTAAGATGGACTTCTTTCTAAAGAAGTCATTGGGAAGTGGGTGGGGATGGATTGGTAGCTCCCCAAGCAGAGAAGGGGGTGGGGATGGCAGCTCTTCCTGTATCAGTCAGGTTGGCATGTCACAATGCATGCAGCTCCATTGACTAAAAGTCTTGTCTTTTCCACATAAAATGACCTGAGGATCAAATGCTTATTTATTTATTTACTTATTTATTTATTTAAAGGGAACTTTAGGTAATTTTCATCTTGAAGTTTTCTTATTTTAATATATATATTTGCTGCCAAACATTCTAAAAAATAAAAGTAATAAAGCTGACTATACATACACTATACATAAACTTATATGAGACATGATAAAATAGTGTTTTGGTTTTTATAGAAACATGACCTAAAGATTTTAAAACACTTCCTTCAAGTTATTTTTGGGGAAACATTTCCTTTTAATCTATGAAGATAAGTTGAAACCCACTTTAATGGTGCAATTTGGTGAAGTAAAAGGCTGATCTTGTTTTTTGTTTAATAAAGACTGATAAGTGAAAAAATACTGTTAGCAAGAAATTATATCATTTTACAAAACTGGATTACTTAGATTTCAAGAGGTCAAACTGCTTAATTTAAAACTGTGCTCCCTGATAGTAGGAAGCACTCCATTTGACATTCAAGCTCCAAAACCATCAATAGTACTTGACATACAGATGTCCAATATATATTTGTTGAATGAATGTTCTCTACACTTACTAACGAGCTCATGACTTTCATAATCTGTATATTATAGGCTTGCAAGTTATTTTGAATTCCCCACGGTATAGTTTAGAAAGTAAGGCTCTGAGCAGTTAAGAGTCAAGAAAGTGGGGAAAAAACAAGGAATGAAGCACTCGGATGAAAATTCCACAAGGGCAGGGTCTGCATCGTTTTCGTCAACCCTTAGTCCCTACTGGCTGGCCAAGTACATGGCACACAGTAGGCACTTAACACATGCGTGCTAAATGGAGACATAGAAGTCATTAATACTTTTCTTTTGTATTTTCAATGTAGGAAGAGCATTAGTTTTGTTTGCAGATACATATTTTAAAAAATCTATTGGTGAAAATTTTTATTTTATAAATAAAAACAAAAGCTAAAAGAAGCAATAATTTTAGAAAGTATTGTAGCATATACGAAAAAGTATTAATAACCTTGAGCTCTTATAAGTAAAAGGGGTTCAAAAAATAGACTAATATTTCAAAAGAAAAATAGGCAATTCCCAAAAGAACACAAAAAGCCAATAAATGTATGAAAGATACCGGTCCTCTGAGTAATCTTTTTGCATACTTAAAACCCCCCAATACGTCATTTTTCTCTCATCAGATTGACAAAGAATAAAAGAGCAACAAGGCTGTGAAGAAATAAGACCCGTCACATCCTACTGGTGGGAGGATACATTCACACCAGCTTCCTGGAGGGCGATTTGGCAATGTGCATGAAAGTTTTCAGTGCATGGCCCCTTTGACCCAGAAAGTCCACTTGGAAGAATTTATTTTATTAAAATATTCAGATAAGTTCAAATATATGTATGTACATGGCTGCAATAGTAAAAATTTAAGTAAAAAGAATCTAAGTAGATACCAGTATTGATGCCGATATGACAGATTTACACATGGAGTGTCCTGTAGCCATCGAGGTCTATGTGGACAGGGGAAAATGGCCACAATATCCTAAGTGAATGAAGCTGGCTGTATGAAGGAAATGTTCTAAAACAGGATTGTGGATGGTTGCACAACTCTGTAGATTTACTATAACACTAAATTGTATATCGTAAGTGGGTAGTGGTGGTGGTTTTCCTCTTTATACTTTTCTGAATTTCTTGCAATGAACTTTAATAATGGGGGTAGGGGAGTTGTCTCAAAAACCTGTGGGTAAATTTATCTAGTATCAACTTATTATCAACATCAAACATCTGAATAGTCATCTAAATTTGAGCCCAGCCCTGGCCTGTGTGGCTCAGTGGTGTCGGCCTGTGGACTGAAGGATCATGGGTTCTATTCCTGGTTGGGCACACGCCTGGGTTGCATGTTTGATCTCTGGCTCCAGTCAGGCAACCAATCGATATGTCTCTCTCACATCAATGTTTCTCTCTCTCTCCCATTCTCTAAAAATCAATGGAGCCCTGGCTAGTTTGGCTCCGTGGTCAGAGCGTTGGCCCACAGATGGAAGGGTCCTGGGTTCGATTTCGGCCAAGGGCACGTACCTCGGTTGCAGGCTCGATCCCTGGCCCTGGTTGGGGCTCATGAGGGAGGCAACCAGTCGATGTGTCTCTCTCACATCATTGNCGTTGCAGGCTCGATCCCTGGCCCCGGTTGGGGCTCATGAGGGAGGCAACCAGTCGATGTGTCTCTCTCACATCATTGTTTCTCTCTCTCTCTCTCTCTCTCTCTCTCCCCCTCCCATTCTCTCTGAAAAGCAATGGAATATATTAAAAAAAAAAAAAAATCAATGGAAACAATATCCTTGGGTGAGGATTAACAAAAAAATAAAATAAATTCAAGCCCAGATTCTTTTCTATAATTTGTCATTTCTTCTGCTCTGGCCTCATATTTCACCATCAATTGCCCAGAACAATGCAGTTGTCTTGTCTTTGGAAAAACTTACACTCCAGATAGAGCTGGAAGCAGCAGTGATTCCACCAAGGGGGGGTACTCATGCCCCCAGGTAGGGACCATTCCCTGAGCGCTCTGCCGTAGCTCAGAGGAAACTTCCCAAGAGCCCTTTCTGCTCAGATTCTGCTTGCCTATCAACCTGGGGAGTTGACTGTGCTAACTGACTATACCAATTCTCCAGGGCTTCTCAAAAAACCTTATTTTTCAATGAACTCACTTTACCTTTTTCTTAGCCCATTATATATGGCCTGTGAGCCACTGGCGGTCCATGAGAACCCCTAGGGTGGTCTCCTGAATTAATGCTCAGATACGCACATGTAGCTTTCTGGCTCTGGCCTGAAGTTAAAATTGAAATGTCATTGAATACAATCCAGAGATGACCTCACTGGTCCCTCATCCAGCACAGGCTATCATCATCTCAGCAATTGTTCTGCAAGGGTGAGTGGGACTAGGTGGATGTGAAGGTCCAGGCGGACTCTTGCTGCGAGGACTCTGAGGACAGAAACCTCATTCTGTGAACACACTGAGACCCAGATGCTACTTTCAGGAAACTGATATGACCAACTCCACCATTCAAATTGGCCGGATGAAGGAAGAGCTCCAAGGAAACAGCACGGGACACCCGTGAACCCTGAAAAACTGTCGAAGGGTAAGGAATCCTCCCCGAAGCTTTCAGCATCCGCATTACATTGGGGACTCAAACTGTGAGCATGATCTAACAGCCCCAGAGCTGGGACTGCCCAATGTTTCTTGCCAACTGAAAGAAGAAAAACGAAGGCTTCTGCTTAACCCCAGCAGCGGAGTTCAGCTGCGCTGCAGGAGTGGCGTGGAAGGCCCGCTGACACCCACGAGGCGCACAGGGTTGCCGCTGCTTCCTCCCACCCAGGGCTGCGGCCACGAGCCAATTCACGTAATTTCTGTCTCGGCCTAAATCAGAAACATTACCACCAAGGAGAGAAAAGACCAGACACAAATCATATCAATATGGTTTATTGAACGAACAGCTCAGCCTCTCGGGAAAACAGCCTACTTTTTTTTCCTACAATTTAATGAAAAGTTTGTAACTCATTCCTGAAGTGACACCTCAGTAGATGTTCACTAAGAAACGGAACAAGCCCCAGAAACACTGGAACACCTGTGTTCAGGACAGGTCCCCAGACACGGCGGAAATATGGAAATACACAGCCCAGGAGCAGATGTCAGCCCCTGAACTTCCAGCGCCTCTTGCGCAGCAGAGGCGGCCAGCTTCCTGTGGAGTCTCAGGTGGGGAGCAGGGAGGCCAACGGCCGAGGGAAAGTTACATTTCTGTTGGTCAATTGGAGCATCGCCGAGGGAGAGCATGGCTGTGCCCAGCTGATCGAACTTGCTTTGGAGCCACAGTTCTCAAGTTGGATCCTGGCTTCTTCACCGTCCAGCTCAGTGACTCAGGGAGAGTTGCTTAATTTCCACTAGACCCTCAGTCTCCTCACCTGAAAATGATGGTGCTTACCTCGTAGGACTGCTGTGAGAATTAACTGTGTCAAAACATACAACAAAGAGTCTGGAAATGCTGCCTAACACGGAGTCAGCGCTCCTTAAATATCTGCTAATATAAATTATCTGGACATCTTCAAGATTTAAAACAAAGGAGAAAAATAACCCACTCTCGGCTGGGGATGGAGTGTGACCTGTATTTGGTGAATGCTGAAAGCTACCTCCAGCCTCAGAGGGCCGTGGAAACAGCCTGGCGGACAGCAGACAGCCGGGGCAATAATGAGGCCCCTAACGGCCCCCGGGGCCTCCTGCAGAGGGGAATCTAAAGACCTCAGGGTTGTGAATGCCTCTCCACAAAAGCAGGAGGTAACACAAGGGGATAAAAGAGAAAGCGCTTTCAGCGAGTCCAGAATGGCAGACCCGCACTGAGGAGCCCACAATGGGCATCGCAGCCCAGACTGCAGTCCTGACAGGGTCAATTCACTGAGTCACACACCCTTTTTAAGGGCCACTGTCATATAGTTGGCGATTTTCACCCTCTAGGAGCTTATAGTCCAAATAAAATTTCAAATAATTAAAAAAATGTAGCCCACCAGGTAATAACATTTGATGAGTGACCTCTGATGGCCCACATTTTGCCATGTGCCTCAGGGTGTTACACACGTGAGGAGAATCTGCTGCATTTAAGAACAAAGAGGGTCAGCATCAGAGAGCGAGGCCGTCGGGAGCGTGGCACGAGCAACGCAGCTTTGCAAGCACACATAAAACCCGGCCCCGAGTCCCATTCTGTCAGCATTCAACGATGAGAAATTGCTGTTACATATTTTATGCTACAATTGACCTGTGTACCAATTTAAGAACACGACAACAGACAATTTCAATAATTACTACAATTGTGGGAAAGCATTGCTAGCGAAATGTGTTATGAGCACTTTGCAAGCACAGCGTGTCTTATTTACTGTGTGTGTTTTTTTTATGGGGAAAATATATTTGTTAATCAAAAAAGTAATTGAACTGCATGTAAGCATGTCATCATGCTCACATAATCAAACTGATGAATCAGAATCCGTGTTTCTGTTGTTTGAGAGAAAAAAAAAGGAAAAGTATTATGGGAGTTACATCTTGGAAAGAATTGTGAAGAAAATAAGGCGCATTAAAGACACTGAGAACATTCTGGAACTGGGGAAAGAAAGGTTCTTAGTGATTATCTTCAGAGCAGAGCAAGGAGGGAGGCATGGATTTAAATCCAGGTGGACAGAAATTAATTACCTCCCTTAAAAAAGTCAGATAGCGTAAAAGACAGAATCTATAACCCATATATAACATGACAGAAAACAAAACCAAACAAGAAAAATTACCTACATATTTCTTCCTAGTCTAGGATTCTGATTTCACTTCTATTCCAGAAGGGAATTAGAGAAAAGAAGGTTTCTGTGTTGCACTGTGTTCTTGGTGAGTAGTCTAAAGTCTTAAGAATTTCTGCCTGGTCTCAACAGCACCATAGGAAAAATCCCTCAGCAACTAATGAGCATTATTTGTTCTGTTTTCATTCTGATTTACACCACATCCGATGTGATTGTGCAGGTTCTGGTTTTCCACTCGAGGTAAAAAATAAAATGACTTTAAGGTCGTTCGAATCATTCTTTACCTTTCAATAGATTAAATCTGACATTATTACAACCCAAGATCATTCTTTTTGTTTTCGAATGAGTAATGTAGCCCCCCCACTTCTTGCCTCCTTGCCTCTCCCCTTCCTTCCCTCCTTTCTTTCTTAAATACGTACCCCTTCAGAGCACTGAAAGTATTATTTAGACTTGGGCCATCGCCGCTGTGCAGATGGAGCTGTAGCTGTACATTGATAAAGTGCCTTCCATTTGGGGGGGGTCACAAGGCAAGGGCGTCTCGTCAACCCCTGAAACGCTGTCAAGAAAGTCCTGCTGCAATGTGTTTAAGGTGGCAATTAGTCCCTGCTGAGCATGAGACCGAAGGTCCCTTGCCCTAACTGGAATGATTTCCTGATTTATTTACACAAGGAATATACGCCTTCCTGGGACATGCGGCAAAAAGAGGTCCTCTTTCAAATCACCCCAGTCTCACGTGGCTCCCTCAACTCATCTCACCAGAGGAAGAGAGAAGTTGGCAGATCTCAGCATATTAACGGCAAACAACAAATTAATAACTATGTACTTTAATCTTCAACATTCGTAACTGTACAAAGTATCACTGATCACTTAAATAATACATGTCAGTTAATCTAGTGAAGAAATGAGTAAAGTCAAACATTCGGAGCAATACCTTGAGCATATAAAAACTGCGAGTGACATTTAACGCCTGTAGTGCAGAGTCAGGTCTTTGAGGCGTAGTTACTTAAAATCCTTACCAACAGGGCAAAGCACTATGCAGAATGATACATAAATACACTCAACCTGCCAGAATGCTCAGCTAAATGCACAACAATTCTAACAGGTTCGGCGAACCTGACTTTCCACATATATACAGTAGTTCCCAGCACTTGAATGTCATTTGGTGATGGGGAAACAGAATAGGAAGAAAGGGGGACGACGTAGCTTTTACACTCAAAATAGAATCGAGTGGGGGAACCTAAACTCCTGACTAGTCAACTTTAAAATGGCATAACCAGAACTTTGTTGCAGAGAAAACATTTTTTTTTTTTTTTTTTTTAAAAA